AGGGTTTAACGGTTTAAGGGTTTAAGGGTTTAGGGTTTAAGGGTTTAGGGTTTAGGGGTTTAGGGTTTAGGGTTTAGGGTTTAGGGCACTTTCTAACCACGTTCTACAGTTACAGGAGTTTCGGGGTTTGCAGGTATGGTTCAGGGGTAGTATGGGCTTTCAGGGCACAGGGATCTACTTGTTGGCTTGGGGCTGGACGGTTTCAAGTTTTGTGAGTGTGGTCCTGGGCTTTTTTTGCTTGGGGTTCCGTAAAGGCTTGAATGTGTTGCGGTTTGGCGGTTCGTGTTAATCTTAATGCAAGACTCGTTTTTGCCCGGATTCGGAGCCCGCCAACATGCACAAAGGCACCTGAAGACAGCGTGCTGCTGTCGCTGGACTTGTGCCGCCACGCGTGCCCCTGTCCATGTCTGACTATGGGCCCGAAGCGATGAGCTGTCACGTGTCGTGTCAGCAGAATGAGCCTTCATGGGAATGGGATCTCGGAGGTACACGCGTCCGCTGGAGAAGTTCGTGGCAAAGACTGCGCAGGACCATGCCTCGGGCTGAAGTAGGACGTTTCCAGTCCATATTAATTACTAGTCCGGTGCTGCAGGTTCAGGGTTCGGATGACCTGCCGATTCACTACTAGGCTACGGCTACTGCAGCTGCCTCTATCTATCTGGTTACCATGACTACCAAGCTCTTCGCTTCTCTTGCCAGTTCTTCGTCAAACAGCTCCCCGTTGCCTCTGCAGCCGCAAGCCACAGTCCTACAACTCGAAACTCCGAATCCTACACCCTGAACGCTAGTCCCCGGATCCAGAACCGGGTAGTCCCTACAAATCCCGAAGCAGCTCTGCACTCTATACCGTCTATACCCACGCCCACTGAAAAGCCAGCCGAAGATCCCTACAGCCTTAAACCCTTTATCAATCCTTTATTCACCCGTACTCCCTACGCCCGAATAGCCCCTTTAAAAGACAGTACATTAGCTCGAAGCCCTAACCCTCTGCACCCCTAAACACCAAAAAGCGCCAAACCCGTAAACCCCCAAAACCCCCAAACCCCCAAACCCCTCAACCCTAAATCCTAAAGAGGAGCGCGGACAGACGCACATCCTCCTCGAGGGGGACTCAGCAGAGATGCTTCCGAGGCCCGGATGTGGTAGGAGAGTGGCGTCGGGGTCCAGGGTTTGGTTTTAGGGGTTTGTGGGTCAGGTTCAGGGTTTAGGGTTTAGGNNNNGGGGGGGGGGGAGGGGTTATTTTTTTGGGCTTGTGCGGTTTAGAGTCTCAAAGGACAGGGTTTGCGTGTCAGGGTTCAGGGTTTCGGGGAATAGTGACCAACCATTTAACGTAGCATCTATGCAGAAGCATCTTCAAAAAGGTTTCCTGAGCTCCCCGAAGAACTTGTTGAGTAGGGCTTGGAGCGTCTAGGATAAAGCTTTCAAGCTTCACAAAGCGTAGGAAGTTAGTTGTAAGCTCAGTGCACGGGTCTAGGGTCTCTAAAGAGCTCTGCGTTTACGGCCTCGTGTTTCGGGGGTAAAGGTGTGAAAACTGCAGGCCCTTCACACTCGCCGAAGCACTTGGTCGGCCCAGGTTTCGCCATATTGAGTTCGACCTGATGTTCATCGATGGGAACCATGCTTACGAGGCCCGTCTTTGGGGCGGGCACAGGTCTCGAGTCTCCTCTTAACTCCGTGCAGCTTCGTCCCCGCATGGGATCTGATTCGAATCCAGCGTGCAGGCGGTAAAGTTGGACATGCTCCTTTGCCTTCAGATGGCCCTGCCGGACCGGGTTTTGGGCTGAGAAGACAAGGGCCGCAGCTGCCCTATGAACGTCGCTCTATCGCTCTCTATTGCACGAATCTCGGCGTCTGTATGCCGGGCCCTAAACCACCATGTCATGTTTTGTTGTTGAAGTGGCAGTCTTCGTTCTAGTACCAGGCTTGTGCCCCTATGTTTTGATTATTTCGTACGGCGTTAAAGCCAAGACCGACACTAGACAGTATTTGCTGCCCATTGCGTGAAAGTGTATTGACCTTCATGTCATCAATCGGGTAACTTGGAGTGGAGATGTAGCTGCAGTATTGGCCTCTGACGTTTATTGTAACTGTAAGCCACTGTAGCCTGCGGTACTACTAGCCAGAATGGGCTCGGGTTCCGTCAGCTGCCGCAATTGTAGCAGACGCAGCGGCAGCAGTAGCAGTGGTAGGAAAGAGGAGTAGTGTGGTGATGGCGCTGCCACTGCTGCTTATGCCATTCGATTGCGGCTGCCTGCTACTCCTACTATTCAATTGCTGCTGCCTGCTACTCCTACTCCTTCTACTCCTACCGCGGCCCCTACCACCACCACCGCCACTGCCACCACCATGACGACGAGCACCACGACGACCGCCACGAGTACCACGACGACCGCCACGAGTACCACG